ACTTTAATAATATTTTGAATGAAGATTCCATAATGTACCCAAAATGGGGGGAGGTGGAGTTTTTGTGTACCCTGAGCTAACCAAAATGAGCTGACTCATTTTAAGGCTCAAAATATTCAATGCGACGTGTATAAAGGCGGCCATGTTTTTCCCGAATATTCACTGCCAGCCTTTGATATCAAAGACTGAAGAATTACGGAACAGCTGCTGGTGGTATTGGCGATATAGTCAGATTCAGTAGAGAGTCTGACACGTGAGTGTTAATCTTTAACGTTGTTTCATTGAACGGATTACGTACTGCGCTGAATTAATGTAAGTGTTGTTCTCGGCCTGTTCTTGAACACTTCTTTGGTTATGATCCAGTTTGAGATTCCCAACCTCCCCAGTTTGTTTTGGCCCCCCTTTTGATCTCGACTGGGTCAGCTTTTTATTCCCCATGTCCGTCTATATTTTCACCTTTACCATTTCCTTAGCGAGAGCGCCTCTTGACTTTGTCCAATGGGCAGAATACAGCGACCTCTCTGTTTTGAGGGTTGGACGGGCCCTGTTTAGTTTATTTTGTGTTGATATTTAGTTTATTATTGGGTTCATCTCCCTCCGCTCTCATTTTTCATCATAGATTTTTATATATATTTTAGTATCATTAAATTTTTATGTTATTTGATGTCAGAAGATATTAATTATAAATAGTAAGAATGTTTTAAAATAATGCTTTAGGGATACAAGTCTTACTAATTAACCCATAGCGGGGAGAGAAGAAGTGGATTCATACTATTCCAAAAGGTATTAGTTAGCACATAAGTGAATATAACGATCCCAACAGGAATTGGAAATCAGTTCTCCGATTAACAATTCCAAGCCATTATCCTTTACACCACCTGCACATCCAAGCTTACAGACCAAGTGGTCACCCATTGAGGTACTGACCAAGATCAACATTGCCTAACTTTGGTGATCGTTTGTGAAACAATGATTGTATGTGATGCAGCTGTAAGCAATACTTTTATTGATATGACTGTTTTATTCAAAAGCATTCATAAAGTTTACCTCATAGCAAGAACCGCACGTTCTCTTTTTTGTTGGTAAAATGGTAAAAAAATATTCCAATAGTAGAAGAGATTGGTCAAACCATAGAAAAGCAAAACAAAAAAAAGTCTGAAACAATTTCCAGAATGAAAGAAGACAACTGTTACTCGATTTGTTTGTCTGAGTTGGGGTTTTTTTCTTCTTGAGTCAAAAGAATTTAGTGATTAGAATCTTGTAAAGGAAATCATTTTGCAAACATTAACAGAAATCACACATAAGCAGAGAGGAAGAGAGAGAGAGGAGAGAGATGCAAGCACACACGCAGACACACAAAAGGGGAGATAACCAAGTACCTTACGGCTTTCCGTTCCACATATCTAAGATAGGGAGATGTTCTGAAATAGTCAATAGTAAATACATAAATCAAACAATGATGGAGAGATGACTGGGTTTTCTAAAACTGAGGGGGTCACCTTTCAGGAGATGAGGGAGGGAGAGAAGAACAGAAGGCAAAGACATTTTTATTATAACTTCAATTGTAGAAAAAGAATATTTAGACATTTTTAGAAAATTATGTTCATAACATTTGGAAAAAAAAAATGATTTTCATTATAATTTCAAGATTTTTATTATCTGTTTTACTACCGCAAGTCATTCTGATGTAGTTTACTTTTGAATGTAACACTTTGTGATTCGATATTGTTTTTTTTCTCTATATTTTTACTCATGACAAATCATTTTACAAGACATACTTGAAATCAGCTGACAAGGTACAAAAAAGAAATTATGGAATGAATTGTTATTTTACAAGTCTACAATCCAAAAATTCTTTAATTCTACAACTTGCAGATATATAATAGAAACTGTATATTTAATAGATATATGCTTTTTTTTATATTTTTATACAGTGCTGTTCGAATAAACCATTCGTCCTTGTGACTCACCTGATTTGTTTTACTTAAAAAATTTCGCCTATTGTTTTTTTCTCATCAAAAAAATTTTTTAATTGACTAAAAATATAAAACCCCTTTGTCGACCACCTTTCTCAAAAGTTTTTACTCACCGTAAGGTATTCTATTGATAATTATCATTTTGGATATAAACAAGATTTAAGGAAAAAACTCTGTGCAAAAAAAAAAAAAGAAAGTGACTCACTTATTTCCTCCTGAAACTATTTTATCAATAGAAACATAACCGAACAGTTTTAAATAAAGAATAATAGAGGTTAATTTATTTATAATAGGTAATATAGTTCAAAATATTTAATAATCTATGGGTCCTCCTTTATTTTGAATAACCTTTTCAACCCTTTTAGCATTGACTTGATTAGGTTCTGAAAATCTCATCTCAAGCATTGAATTCCATTCGGATATGAAATTCAAATGATCAAATCCTCTTTGTTGCTCAACTGCTTTCTCGAGAGCCTGTACTTTATAATGCTGCATCAGTTTTTCTATGGGGTTGAGGTCAGGAGATTGGGGCGGCCATGTCATAACACTCACCTACTTCTCATCAAAGTATTCCTTCATCAATTTTGATTTGTGACATGGAGCATTATCCTGCATAAAAATGAGCTTGATGGGGTCGATTTGCACCCTTTCAGCAGAAGGGAGCAGACAAGACTCTAAAATTCTCTTGTACTGCTTGATCCTGAGGGTCTTTTCAATAGGTTTTAAGAAACCAGTTCCATGAAAAGAAAAGCATCCCCCAGAACATGATACTGAACGGATGCCTGACAGTACTTACTGCTTTCAAAGCTTCATCTTCGGATTTTAGATCGCTAATCCTTTGAATTTAGCTCAACTTTCGTTTCATCGGAGAAAAGAACATTTAGTAAAGAATTTTTAAGAATTTCCTAAAATTTCGCTTGAAGATGAAACGGGACGAAACACCTCAATTCAACTTAATTTTAGTAATTATTTGGATGGTTTCGGCTCTCGTTTTTGAAACACGAGAACTCTTAAGTAGTGAAGGAATCATATTTTTTAAAAAAAAAAAATTATATATATATATATATATATATATATATATATTTTTTTAATTTTATAATTTTAGATTTTTATATATGTATATATATATATATATGTGTATATGTGTGGGTGTGTGTGTGTGTATTTGTATTTCAGTTATTTATTTTATTTTATATGTTTTGAATAAAAGAAGGAAAATATGAAAACTTTTAAAACAGAATAAAATTATTTATTCTGAGAAATTTTATTTTAAATTATTTTGCATAAAATAATTTATATTAATTACTATAATATTTCTGCTTCATGTCAGATATAAAGTTGAAGCTTGTATAGTTGGTCTTGAGATTAATTGGAAAAAAAAATTGTCATTAAAACTATTCATTTAGTTTTTGATCAAATATAAATTGCTATCATATCTTTCCATTTCCCATACCAATCCCTTATTTTTTTATGATGACATACAATCATTGTCTATAGTAGTTTGTTAATTTATTTCTTATATTTTAAAAACAATATCATAAATGGATATCAATTTGTGGTTCGTGGTTCAATTCCAACTTCCTGACAGCCATTTGAAAATAAAATAATAAGTCAATTTAAATTCATTTTCAAATACATTAAAATATTTTGATTATTGGAAATATTAAACAGTCTATTAAATTGAAAAATAAACTAAAATAAAATATTCAAGACAGATTTTAAATTTTTTTCTTTATATTCAATCTAAACCTTAGGTATCTTTCTTTCTATGATGGTACCTACAAAAATATGACAACGTATCAAAATAGATAGAATTTTAAGCCTACTATGATGCATACTGATATATCCAATGTGTTTCTGATAAGCTTTTTAATCCCATTGGGATTTTAATTCTACCTGCCATTGAAAAAAAAAAAAAATGCAGATCATAGATCTAAAAAGAAAATATGTTATTTCTGCAATGAAGCCCCAAAAATTCGCCTATATATATTTGACATTTTTACTCATTCCACCATATAAGTTCAGGCGATATATATGACACTGGATATCAACTGCTGATGGGAAAAAAATTGTACGTACTTTTGATTGATGTACCATCGTATAACACAATTATGGACATTAAATAGATAGATATGTGGATAATATGCTTTACAAGTGATGCAGAATCAAATTTAAATGTTGCTTGACATTCAAATAATTCTTCATAATATGACACCATCAAAAATATTATATAGATAGCAAAAATACGCCCATATTTTAATTTGATATATTAGTTTTATTCAAATTATGACAAAAACCAGACTTAATTTTTCATAAATGATTTTTCCTTCATATTATATATACAATATATTTTTTTCATATGATATTATGATCATTTCAATAATATATATATATTAAAACAATTAAATTTTTTTTTTAATATATAAATATTCTATTTTTTTATATATTGGATAATGAAGATCCCTATTGGATGATATATATTTTCACTAAAAAAAATATAAAATATAATCATAAATAACACAATTAACCCCCAAAATCATAACGATTCAAAATCAATGATTTTATTTTTTAATTTTTTTTAACAATTCCATAGATAGAATTCTGATAGATTTCTAAAAAGTGAGTTAAATTGGGGTTTTACAACTCCAATTAAAAATAATGATAAAAAAGAAAAAATTAAAAATGGATTATTCATATATATATATTATATAATATATATATATATATATATATATATATATATATATATGAATAGATATATATATGAAATAGATTCAAAATTTAAAAATTAATACATAAAAAATGAAGAGATAGATATTATAACGATAGATACATGAAAAAGGATTGATATATATAGATTGGAAAATGAAAATTCAGATATAAGATTTTAGATAGATAGATAGATAGATATATATAGATATATATGAAAAAGATATTTATAGATAAATCGATAGACAGACTGAGAGAGAGATCAGATATAACGATAGATACATGAAAAAAGGATTGAGCTAGCTAGATTGGAAATCAAAAGGGAGATAGATAGATAGATAGATAGATAGATAGATAGATAGATAGATAGATAGATATATGAAAAAAACGCAAATAGATAAATCGATAGACAGACTGAGAGAGAGTCAGATATAACGATAGATACATGAAAAAGGATTGAGCTAGCTTTGGAAAATGAAAAGGAGATAGATATATAGATAGATAGATAGATAGATATAGATAGATAAATAGATATGAAAAGACGATTAGATAAATCGATAGACAGACTGAGAGAGAGTCAGATATAACGATAGATACATGAAAAAATTTTGAATAGATAGATTGAAATGAAAGGAGATAGATAGATAGATAGATAGATAGATAGATAGATATGATAGATAGATATGAAAAACACAAAATAGATTGATCGATAGACAGACTGAGAGAGAGTCAGATATAACGATAGATACATGAAAAAGATAGCTATAGATTGATAAAACATAGATAGATAGATAGATGAATAAAGAAAATGAGATTGATCTAGACTGAGAGAGAGTAGATTGGATAATATGAAAAAGATAGATTAGATAGAAAAAGATATAGATAGATAGATAGATAGATAGATAGATAGATAGATAGATAATAGATACCAAAAGAATAGATAGATATTGATAGACAGACTGAGAGAGAGAGACAGATATAATATAGATACATGAAAAAGGATTGAGCTAGCTAGATTGGAAAATGAAAAGGGAGATAGATAGATAGATAGATAGATATAGATAGATAGATAGATAGATATATATAATATATATATATATATATATATGAAATATATAAGGAGAGGAAGAAGTAAGAAAAGAGAGAGATAGAGAGAAATGGAGATTAGGGTGTGGTTTCCCATTCAAGGCTCGAGAGTTTCCTTATCTCTGCTATTTTACTGACAAGATAGGTTTAGGGACAAGATAGGTTCATGCCTTTCCTAATGAAAGACGTGAACGGGATTTGATCCCGGTTTACCGATTCAATTTTCCATGAGACATCAATCTTTGAGTTTTCCTCTGAAATCGCAAAAGAATGAAATATTGAATTCTTGTTGGAATTTCTCTTCCACACATTCCCCCCCCCCACCCCAGGAGATCCAAAAAAAAAATCCTTGAATTTCTCTTCAGAAGAATTTACCAATTCTTTCTCGTCTTTTAGAAATTACCCCCCCTTTCCCTGATTTTTTGGTTTTCTTTTCTCCAGTTCGTTGCCAAATGTCAGTCTTGGAATGTCTTTAATAAAAAATAAAGACGAAATCTCTTTCGAAAAAATTACAGAAAATTCACGGTCCTCCACGACATCCACGAAGAAAAAGAAAAAACTCATGCGTGAAAGAGAAACAAAGAAAAGGAAGAAAAAGAAGAAAAAAGAAAAAATTACAATTATTTACCTGAACTCATATTGTTATCCGATGACAAATTCAATTTTCAAGTGCAACAAAAATTAATTTTATTTTGCATAAATTTGCATAAATTAAAAACAAAAATCGATCAATAATTATTGATTTATTTGTTGTTTTTATTGCCATTTCCAAATGAAATTTCATTTTCTGTCAACCATTGATGGTCGGAGATTAAAAAAAAAATTGAAGAAAAATTTCAAAAAACGAATTTTAAAAAAATTAAATTTTATTTACAAACAAAAAAAAACTTTTTTTTAAATAATTTTGAAAATTTTCAATAAATTTTTTCCATCTTTTTGAAAAGAAACAAACAATTTTTGGCTGGAAACAAAAATCAGCGGAAAAATTTCAGATTTTTCCGGAAATTTATAGAAATTTTTTTCTGGTAAAAGAGAAAAAATTTCTTTTTGGCTCGAAAAATAAAAAAATCCAAATTTATTTGAACAAAAATCGAAAAATTCTTCTTTTTTTTGCAATTTTTGAAGAATTTCTCCATTTTTATTCCAAACCAAAATTTCCGACCCTCCCCCTCTTGCCCCCCACAAATTCCCAGTCGTCGGATCGACACGAAGGCGGGGGACATAAAACCTCCCCCCCCGGTGACCCCCTCGGGTGGATTGTTTTTATTTTCTCGCCATTTTCATTAAAACAAAAAATTTCTTTAAAATTCAAATCACAAGCGAAAATTTTTTTCTGAATTTGACACAAAGAAAAAAATTTCTTTTTTTTTGTGTCAATTATTTTTTGTTTTTTTAAAAATGGCGGCGATTTTTGTCGCGCCAAAAAGAAAAGTCTTCCCCCCACCCCCGACCCCCAAGGACAACAAACAACCAAAATGTCTTCGGGGAGGAGACACATGTCCCGGGGGTGGAATGTCTCTCTTCCGTCCTTTAAGGGAAATTCGCCGACCAATTCCCCAGAGTCTCTGAATTCTAGAATCGATTTGCCGTTCCAATCGCCAACAAAGACGTGATTGTCTTCATCGCTGGCGACAATCGATGAAATCCACGGCGACGGGTTCGATCCTTGCAGACGGCATTGACTTTCCAATTGTAAATGCCCGGCTCTCTCCGGCGTCCAGTCGATTATTTCTTTCTTCAGTGACTCTAGGGAATCGTGACACCATTTGGGAAAGGTCACGACCCAACGGATTTTCTCGGGTGGAGCAAACGATTGG